TACTTGCGAACAAGACCGATGGGGTTTTTGCTAAGCTGGTACGAAGTCAGCAGGGAAGTGATTGACTGTAACTATGTTTTTGAATTGCATTGACAACTAGATTAGAAATTCGATCGCTCTTTGAAGTCAAATAGATTCAGTAAATTGAGTAAATGTTGGTATTTACTTTTAAGTTATTCAAGCAAAGCTGCTCAATGACTTGGTATGTTATTTAACGTCCTGGAGATGAATGTGGATATTGATGTTGATTAATGTCAGACACCTTGAAACACAATAAATTTACCATGATTTATTAACAACATTTAGACAGACACCAATTCATWGTTCTTCGTTCTTCATAAAGTTTGACATCACTTTTTCAAGTTACATATCTACATTRACCCTCACTTAACTTTAGTTTTTCGTTATTTTACACCCCAAATAAATAATAACTTCAACGGTGTATTAATAAATAGATTCTGTTCTCTACAATAACTTTTCTAATTTTGTATATTTATTGATCTTCTAACGAAATCGAAAGCACAGACCAAGGRCATACTTGGGGATCGATATCTAAAATATTTTACATTTAGGTATATTACACTATTACAGATTCTACAAATTAATGATGAGATTTTTCATTAAAATGAGACGCATTGGATGGAGAAATAGTACAAGTAAACCATGAATCTGACTATAAGAAACGGTAACAAGCTACCTCACTGTTCTCACGAGGTTAACTAATAGAGTCTTTCTGTTTTTATGGGCTAATGTACCTTTTTTTATCAAACCCAACCGAATATGTATGTACATAATATTGCTAATCCAATTGTAAACAAACAAAAAGTACGGCATYAGTGAAATAGAAACCAAGAGTCCAGCGTAATGGGGCGGGAGGTGGTTCCGATTGACAATTATGCATTCTTGGAAGTCTCTACTACATAGTGACGCGCGTACGAAGTGTTGAATATCAAGTTGTTTATGTTTTTGTCAACTATCCGGTTAGCGAAAGTCATGACTACAAAGGTTGCTATAGCTACACTCAGCAGTTGCAACGTTGTCATAGCAATGTCAAATTATGGCAATCTTGAGATGAAAACACGATCACTTAACCATACTCGAAGCGTTATATTAGATGTTCTGAAAGTTCCTCTCTGAAAATCGATAAAGAGTATTTCCATCAGTATATTGAATGAGTTAATCCATTTAATTATTATTTCGCTAGACTTGAGTCATTTAGAGTCATCAACACGGTTACTACTACTGGTTTATGAGGCGACATTACAGTCAATATCAGCTGTTGAGTCATTTTTACAAGGTTACTGTTTAGTCTCGTTTTTAGAATTGTTTATGTTTTTAGTACTGTTTAAAATGAACGGTCAGCAACCAGTCATGCCCGAATCATAACACCTGTCACCCAGTCGATGGTAAGCACCAATCAATTCCCCATTCATCAATCCATCGTTATCATCACCTACAAATCAACTATGACCATTCGCTCAGCGGTTTAGAGAGTTTACCTTGGTTTAATTCCCGACAATGGTAGGCGCTGTTTTACTGGAAGAACGGACGATCACAAACATTAGAATAGACGATCAAAGACGTTAAGTAAGATTTAAAAGAATGATTAATCGAATAAGCATATWATTATATCAGTAATTAGCAAAAGTTATGAATTATCAAAGTTAAATGTTTAAGTGTTTTGCATGCAACTGTTTTTTATACTTCATAAGTGTAAGTGACGGTTTCGTCAYGCATTTTACATTGCCTAATAGCTTTACTTGGTTACCGTACATTTTAGAAATATGTAGCAAAGCTTAACTTAGAGTGATAGCTGCAACTTAAAATCGCTTTGAAGGTTATTTCAAACAACTAAATATCACTAGAGATCTAAATGACGACAATCTGATATTATCATGGATGACGATTAGAGCAAGACCAAAGACGTTTTGACGAAACAAAGTGACAGAAGGGTGACTTACAAGGAAGCTGGGAGAGGGAGTGCAAGGGGCTGAGGTAGTTGATGGCAGGTAAATATCAACAGGGGTAATGACAGTGATGATGCAATGATGGAGATGATGATGACGATGGCAATGATGATGATAACAATGACTTACATATCAATCTTTTTTGCTGCGTTTTCAGAACACATGTCTGACGTCTGAAAATGACACTTTTTGTGAGTCGCCAACTTGCAGCCTGCGTTAAACMATCAGCATTAGAACATAATACTAATGAACAACAAACGTAGAACCATTACCTTTACAYTGATAACCTTGTTTGCCGAATTTCCCTGAAATAGAATTACCACATACAGCACAATTCCTGGAAAAAWGTCAATAAAAAGAACGTTTTAAGAGCCATCCATGACGAYGATTTGCTGTAGTCAGAMTRACTTACGTAGATTCGTCAAAATGGACTGCTTTGAACATRTGGTCATTATAAACATGGTATTTATCTCCCTTCTGTTCGTAGGTTCCTCGCTTTGCCATCGACACTGGGATATGATAGTACCTGAAACATGTAGTCAGCCATTTAATACAGCCATGCGGATAGTGAGGACAAAAATACAATAAGTTATCAATGACAAAAGATGTATAATCTAGCATATTCTTACTTCTTTTCCCCCTTGTCTCTGACCTCGATGACTAATGACGAGAAGGGGTTTGGCGAATAACTTAACAAAGACGACTGGCTGGTTGATTTTTCTGCAGACAAAGATATTATTACATACATTACACCCTTACTATTCTCAACTCATAATATCTTAGTTCAGCAATCGTAATTGATKATGATCTTGACAACAATCAGATTATATATATTAAATAAAATAACGATCATACAATACTAGGTACATACGTAGCTGTGATGTTTCAGGTAGATCCCCAGCGTGATATGAGTGTGTAACAGGATCTACTTTCGTTTCTTCTTCAATTGACTCTGCTGGTTTAATGTCYGCAGCACTCATACTAACAGGGCGCTTATTACCGCGCTTCAGGTTAAGCCTACGAAACCGAGATTTAGGCTGGTCAGCGGGTTTTTCTGATGGACTTGACTCGGTGTTCTCATCAACAGTTTCTAGTTCTTTCTTCTCGTGTTCCTTTTGTTTAGGCTCCTCTTTCTTTGTTTCCTCTCGAATGGGTTCCTCTTTTTGAGGTTCCTCTTCTATTGGTTCTTCTTTTGGTTCATTTTTTGTTTCATCTTCCTTGGGTTCCTCTGGTTTACGTTCTTCATCTTTTGTTTCTTCTTGTTTWGGCTCCACTTTGAAAATGTCCTCAAGATTAGGTTCCTGTTGTTTGAGCTCCACCTCTATGGGTTTAACGACCTCTTCTTTGGGCTCCTCTTGTTTGGGTTCCTCGTCTTTTTTCTCATCCTTTTCCTTTTCTTCATCTTTAGTTTCATCTTTTTTCTCGTCTTGTTGCTTATCCTGCTGTTTTTTGCGTTTGAACCTCCCACTAAATCTAGACTTTGATGGACCAGATTTAAGGTCAGCTTCCTGTTCTTCCTCTTTAGGAGTATCCGTTTCCTGGGCTGCTGATTCTTTGTCTCTTTTGAACCTTGACATAAATCTAGACTTTGGTGCGTCCGTTTTGGCGTTTTCTTCGACTGCCTCCTCTTCTTTCTTTTCCTCATTCGGCTCCTCTTTAGGAGTATCAGTTTCTTCTGTTTTTGACGAGGGCTGTTTGTCTTTATCCTTCCTAAACCTCGACCTAAACCTAGACTTTGSTACGTCCGTTTTCACATTTTCTTCAGCGACCTCCTCTTCTTTCTTTTCCTCATTCGGCTCCTCTTTAGGAGTATCAGTTTCCTGTGTTGTTGACGAGGACTCTTTGTCTTTGTCCTTCCTAAACCTTGACTTAAACCTAGACTTTGGTGGATCTGACTTAAGGCTTTCTTCAACATCCTCTTGCTCTTTCTTTTCGTCGTGCGGTTCGTCTTTTGGAGCATCAATTYCATGCGTTGATGAAGACGATTCTTTGTCTTTGTCCTTTTTTCCTCGTTTAAATTTCATATTAAATGATCGTCGTATCTTTGATTTTGGTTCGCGGTTCAGTTCTGTGCCTAGTTCTTCATCAGGTTTTGGTTCATTTTCCTTGGTTTCTGTCGTTTCGTCGAGAGGTTGATCGCCTGCATGGTACGARTGCCTACTAGTATCAGCATCTTTACCAGTCTTTTTATCTCCATCAACGGTGCTTTTGGGTCGTCGCTTGAACAATGACTTCTTAGTCTTGGATTTAGATTTCTCTTCTTTGGKTTCTTCTTTTTGTTCTTCTTTTTGTTCTTCTTTAGATTCCTCTTTAGATTCTTCTTCCCTAGGTTCGTCTTTGGGTTCAACCTGCTGCTCTTCCTCTTTGTCGACTTTCGGAGGTTTGTTGTCCTCTTTATCCTCGCCTTTCTCTGTAGACTAAAGAATTGTACTACAATTAGCACATTGAAAGACACGCTAAAAGACATGTAGGGTACAAGAAGAGAATAAAATTGAGTTGCTTACTCTACATTAGAATGACTATTGTTAAGAAAAATTAAATTAGCATATCGYGTTATTGTTACCGGAGTCGGTGCCACGACTGGACTTTTCTTGCGACCAGATGGTTCACAAAGCGTTGCATCCAATGCAGCAACCTCTAGCATAAGTTCTGTGTCGTCATGTTCACGTTGGTCGGTTTCTTTTGCCTTCATAACAATTTCCACTGACTTCTCTTCGCTGGCGCTAACGTGACTAGTCCCAGCCTCATACGCCTCAATCTCCTGCGCAAGCTCATCAAGACTCGTTTCCATGTAGCTTTTATCTAATGAGTATGCATATGCAGCGCCGTATGTCCTTTTTTCAGGTAGATCTTCATTCACAGCAGGAACGGCTAAATAACAATGGCAATGAGTAAAATACCAAACTAATCTAAAGTGGCAAAATTAATATAAAAAAATCAATAAATAACATTAATAGTTATGGTCTAGTGGGTACGCATGTTATTTAGATAATTATTGGAACTCATCCATTGCGCAGTTAAAAGAAGTCTTTCTATATCTTGAACGTATATTTTGAATTCAATCTTAGAGTTAAGGCTCTGTCAGGAAAAACGTACATTACAAGTCTGGTTATTTCTCAGTCTGCAAAATGAGCGTGATAGAGCCTTAATCTTAACTTGRACAAAAAAGTATACATCTTGATATGTCTCAAATACCATTTTCAAATTTTTGAATAACTTGATAGGAAAGAGTTCAGATTTGAACACACAGAGAGTGCACAGCTAAAAGCCGATGACGCATTTTCAATAGATTTTAGTTGTTTCGGTTGCTACAAACATTCAGATAAGTGCCAAAACGTCTAATAGAATAAAATATCCAACTGAATATTGAAAACGTTTTAATTAATAACCAAGAAACGCAGTCGACAGGAAAAAGTAATAATCAGTTATACAAATGAAAAAGAATATTTCACCTTGTGTTTTATCGATTGTAACGTCGTACACTGTATGCTCCACCGCTGCAAAGAAACGATTATAGCATTGAATATACTGATGGTAAAAAAACAGGAATCTAAAAAGACGCGTAAACAGACACCAAATGTTACCTGTAGGCTTAGCACTGCTGTCAGTGATATCAACCAATGGTAAAGCTCCATCGATAACCTTACCATCTTTATCAAAAGTAAACTGAAAGAAATGAAAGCAATAGCGAATGAATGAAATCTGGCAAACTTCAGATAATTATATTGAGTAAAAGAACGGAGAAAGAAGGCATAAGGAACAAGACACAGCAATGGGTTATTAATGAAAGGCAAAAACAGTAATTAAAAAAGTGATTTCAGAAATGAAGGAAATACCACATTAATTACTAAAAAAGGGAAACGAGTAGGAGGCAAATTAACGGAAAAGTTAATAAATCAGGAGGGTCTAGTAAAGACGAAAGGAAGTAGAAAGCGGGGGTAGGGTAAGGATGTTTCATTGATGTACCTCAAGACTCAGTTCTCCCTTGACATAGTCACATTTGTTAGTCTTAGGTAGGATAGGTAGGATGAGTCGACAGGTCTGATTACGATTCACGGTAGCCAAGGGTACGATAGCTTGACCAAGAAAATCATCTGTAATTTCAAATGATAAAAATCTTTACTATAATAACTTTATCTAAGGTAGATTTTGATAGGTWACACAAATTAAGCTAAGAATTAATCACTGTTATTTACACACACTCTTGTTAAGTTCATTAAAAGCCATTATYGGACATTTTAATGTCAGTTCAAACTGCTTACAACAAGCGTCATAGCGCGAAATAGGTCTTAACGAAATMTGAAAAAAATATAGTAAGTACCGGCAAAAACTCAATCCGAAAACAGGTTAACAACCAAAAAAGACAAAGTACAGTGTTATCTAACGCGTACTTTTCAAACAAAAGGCGGTAGTTAACACCTAGAGGTGTAACAAGATGTTTTACCACCTGCCAWATCAACAATCACTAGAACTAGATGTTGTACTAAATGTCACACTTTGTGTCACGCAGCGTATGTCACACAAGTCCCTTTTCAATTTCTCTTTCCACTAAAAATCAATTGACAACGCGGTATGGTTCTCAGTTTTGATTAGTTACCTTTTTCGGCGCTCAATTCATTGTCATCCATATGGTAGTTTGCATCTAAAATGGAGTAAAATATAATAAATTCATACGTTGATAATGGTTGTCTTCTGGTTAAATCAATGAAAGAAGTTTAAATATAAAATAACCCTCAATACCTWATCTATTACATAACAAAACCAAAATATTATACATTTGTATGATGTAACCTGACACGACAGATCTTCAGGGACCCCTCCCCCCATCAATGTGGCCTAGAAGCTATACCTGATGGTGTTTTWTCAAAGTCAAAGATGTTCAATGTAATTTCTCTAGTCTTGGAGCCAATATCACTGAAATGWAAAAGACTCTGAATTAAAATCGTGCTATTTTATTAAAATTAATTTAATTCATTTTATTTAACTTACAATGCAAAGTACTCGTTCCAGAATGGACTTTCTGTCTCCTTCATTAGGCTAGTTCTCTTTCGCTGATAGGGCTGGTCAGTAGTGATGATACAATATGGACTCATCTTTGCTGGAATTGGTAGCCAAGAACCGTTAAAATACAGCATAATGACAGCATAATACATATTAATWYATAATACAAGAGCGATCTGCGCGTAAAGCGAAGCGCCACATGAAGACAGGGGGAGGAGTACTTGTCCGATATGGAAGTGTTTATGAAAAGAYATGCGAGCAATATAGAGGCAATTTCGATAYAATGAAGCTTCAAAATCAGGTTTTTTGTTATTAGTCTATTTCTTTTCGAGACGAATGGTCAGCAACACGTGATGTGTTTAATAATTTCGTACCTGTTTGATCTTTTGAACACAGTCCAGTRGCTTTGATAACTGTAAAAACGGGAGTGTTAGACATCAAAAATTATTCTAAATACAAGAATCAAACGCCACGTACCTTTGACCAGCAGTTTGCCTTCTTCTCCTACACATGTCTGAAGGATAGGAGAGTCAAGCTTGTCTTTTAAACTRCCGTTATTCTGCTATAAAACAAGAACAGAATTCAATAGTCAATATCTAACAAAGACATACGGACATCAATAAACGACCAATATACATAAAGAACGATATTTTAATCCGAGTAGGAAGATTTTAAAGAAAAAAAAACAGAACAAATATAATAAAAGTGAAATATATATGAAACAAAATTTAAAAAATATGCCAATTTCCTCTCTCCACAACGAACAGAATGTTTCCGAATAATATGAAAAATAAAAGATGAAAAACAAAAGAAAGACAAAACGAGAAAATTCTATGAAGAGTATGAAAAAACAAGGCACTTTACTAATTTTCCTGTCTGAAAAACTACTCCACTTCCCACTTGACAGTTTTTCGAAATGAGAACAAAATGTGCGTTAAATGAGATCAGTAAAGTAGAATATTATTGAAGGGTTGAAGAACGAATTTGATAACATAATACATCTACTGTGAATTCAAACAATTAAAACAACATGCATCGAAACTATTTATATTTGAATGGGTGAGCAAGACATAACATGCAGAAGTCGATTCATGGCAACAAGAATATGACAGGATTAAATTTAGAACTAATTAAACAAGAAAACAAAATCAAAAATAGAACATATCTGGTCAAAAATCAGGTTTTATTAACCACCGTTTTCAAAGAAATCAGTTTTGTCTGAAACAAAATAATTTGCATATGTTTTCCAATGTTTCAAAACATGACATCTGGAGTCAAATAATAAGAAAAAGTGGTAGATGACTCTTATACAGAAATATAAAGTCAGTAGAATTATAAATAAGATGCGGCGTTAATCACTCCTGGGAAAATACAGCACGGCTTTTTTTCTTATTCAATAATTTGAAAATGTTTTCAATTGTCCACAATAAGAATTACTCTTCTCAATCGATCTAGAAAACACATCAAAAACACTAGTAAAACAAAATGCGAGGAAAAGACAGATTTAGCTATACATGSACGTATAATAGTCACACTGAAATGTTCGATCCATTAAAATATCGGCAAAACTTGTCGCTTGTCAAACGAAATAATAAATCTATGGATTTCACAAGTGTTTGTAAGTACTTTGAGGTTCAAGAATAAAGTAAGCAATCTTTATTCTGACACCACAGTTTTCAAAAATAATTGTAAAATAATGCTGTCTATGGTTGTAAGATACCTGCAGGGTTCGGCCGCTAACACAGACAAACACATTGATGTTCACATTATAATTGTGTTCAACATTGATGATAGACCGGGGTCTTGGTCTACTCATTGCTAATATAACACCCTTAGTAGAATCAAACAATCATCTTTGSTTGTCCACATAGATAATAATTGTCATTTGCCCAACAGCTAGTTCGTTTACAAGTCGGAGCGGGAACAAGTGCGTCAAGCTTTCTGGTTTGCGTCTATTACTTCCCGTAGCATCCGTCGACCAAAATACTAGTAGCAAAGACTACTCTCATTTACATATTATCAGTTCTTTCTTRGGGGATGAATTGAAAACAGATTGATAGTTGGACATGAAAAGCCACACTAACTCACTGAGCCTATCACGACCAACCGTCTGGAGGATGTCTTTCTATTGGTTAATTGTATTTTCATGTAATTTCGTTCTGCTTTGTGGAATGAAAAAAATACTACCATCTGCTACTTGGCATGAATTATTAATGAGGGCATGATTTGMATAAATGTTGTACAGTCACATCAACTGGTGCTACTGATTAAAGGATGAGAATCTAACCATTAAAAACAACAACAACAATGTAGAGCGACTTTTCAAATAAAGTTGTATTACTCTGTACATGCAAATGTTCAAAGAAAACATGAAATTTTAAAGAAAATAATAGATATCATTGTTTGTTTGAAAACAATGAATTTTGACTTTTAATGAAACCATTTAACAAGCAAAGTGGAAAAGTATCAATTTTTTAATCGGAAAAACAGTGTATAAAGATGGTTCATTATTAAGATAAACGTAAACCTCTTTAATCTATTCTTGAGAGCTTTTAAAGGGGATTTATTTTTTGATATGCAACCTTTCAGGGTAGGGTAGGTAGAAGTTGGAGAACAAAACCACATCAAAACTTTCTAGGGTAGGGTAGGGAGAGGATGGAGATGTCAAGCTATATGTATAATACAAATATCAACCTTTGTATGGTAGGGTATGCAAAGCGTGGAGATGTAAAAGCAATATCAACCTTTCTAGGGTAGGGTAGGGAGAGGGTGGAGATGTCATGATGTACATGTTTGATTTGGGCTTCCTATGTTGAAATACAATTTTTGAAACTCATGAATGTGTAATACCATTTTAAACCTCTGTAAGTAGCAGTAGAATGCAGCACATGCAACAGATGAGATGTACTTACAGTGTCATTGTCAGGTTTGTTGTTGTCGGTCAGTGGAACTGTGGTTACAGTTTTACAGATTACTTCTTTAAGTTTCTCTTCCACAGCATCCACAGCCTCAGCATCAACTCCATCCTATTACAATCAAAACAACATTGCATTTCAAAGACTTTCAGCTAAAATYCTAACTAAAGRTTGCATTTGCATGCTGAAAAAATAATTGTCAGCACAAATAATGGAAAGATATCACTATTGCAGTGGGCTTAGTTATGATTACAAATTGTATTAGTTATATACTTCAAGTGTAGAGAGACTGTCAAATCATAAAGAATTTTGCAAATAACTAACAAATATTAATATTGTAATRTTCTATAAAATGGTAATTTTTATAATACATATTAATTTATAGAATGTGGAGGATTTTAGAGACTTCAGTTGCTCAGGACACAGAATCTGTTATATATTTATATGAAATCAAATTAAAATGTTTAATGTCTGTCTAAACTGTCTAAACTGCCATGAAGAAAAGCAAGGAGCAAATTACAAAATAACAATCTCTAGGCTAATARTGTTTGCACTCASTGTTAGCAGTAGCAAAACAAAACGTTTCTATTACTTTATACGTTTATCTTTTTTCAAGAGTTAATTTCAGCTGCTATTGACTTTAATATGATACTCAATAAAACAATAYCTGAGCAATGAACAAATTATTCCTATTTTGTTCTGCAATATTACACCAATTAAGTAAAATAGAGGATGATCTCCTGTTAAACCTGTTGCATTAGCACCTTTAGTGCTGACCACAGACTGAAAACAAACACTTTCTTTCCAATAMAAAATCTCAATGCAGACATAAATGCATGGCAAAAATCTTCATCTCAACAAAGATACTTTACGTTAAAGCATGAGAGAAGCATCCAAAACTAAAATTACAAAAGTTTTCAATGCATACAAGGAAGAACAATAGAAAATAATAGAATAACAGGTTGTTTGCAGGTAACCTATGAAATTGTAAACAAATCTAAATCCCGTAATAAAGTGGCATTCTACTTTCTTCTAAGAACAGCCTACAAAGATGTTATAAAATTAATAATTATTTAAGTACTATAGAATATTAACATTTAGTTTTTCAGCGTTGGTGAGGTGCGACATGGCAATAAAAATGCTTATTTCATTTAGGACAAGTAGTGATCATTTCTGTCAACAACTCTATCATAGTTTTTGATATTTAGCATCCTTCTTTTTGAGCAGGAATACAGCACTAAACTCACCCCATTGGACTCTTCAACAGTGGTTTTTACAGAGCATTGGAGTTTTGTTTCCTYTGTTTTCTCAACCACTTCATTRCCAATCCCTGCTTGAAATCAAACATTGTCTAGTGTGAAGACTTCCTTTTACCAGTAAAACAATTCAATTCATGAAAAACCCAGAGAATTAAAATCCTTCACCTTCTTGGGAAGAGCCTTGTCCCATCATGGAATTAGTGCCAACACTTAAGATATTCCCCCAGTTTTACTGGGGTTTAATTTCTGTCAGCACCCCTAAAATATTACCTATTTTGTTAAGGCAAGTTTTTATCTTGATATAAATAATTAATGAAAGTACTGGCAGTCAGAGAAGATGGTGCTCAATGAACCACAAAGAGAACTGGGTTCCAATTGACATTCTTTACAGCTGTGATAATGTACTATATGTAAGTTAAGAGGTCTCTCTACAACAACACTGGGATTAGTTCTTGTTGAGAGAAGACATTTCTATAACATTGAAACTTCTGCCTAATAACCACTACAAACTGAAATTTAATGGCATTCATGGAATGATAAAAAATGAACATTTGAATGGGAAAACTTTTGTTTTATTTAATCCTATTCATTCACTTTTTGATTCACAGTGTACTAAAGACTTCTTTTTTGGCTAACAATTAATGCATGTTGTAAAGTTTCTMTAAAATATACCTGTACAGCATTGATAATGATGTTTTTTTTTTGTGAATTACTTTTGTAAAATTACTTTTTTACTATTTGTGAAAACCTGATGAGTACATAAAGTCAAAGTACTTATCATTTTAGATATAATAAAAGTAAATAAAATAAATAAATGTGAAAAGATTTGTTGTAACTAATAGGTATGCAGGTGGTAAAACTGGTGCCAGTAGAGGACCATTATGTTAGCTGTAAGTACTTTAAAAGACTTTTTCCTCAAAATAATATRAAAAAGTCAATGAAATCTTATAATTACAAATATTTCTCTTAACATGCAACTCAGCAATGAGCTCAATCCATTTATGTCATACTGTTTACGAGGTAATTGATAATGTTAATTTAAATGCTAAGTTACTATTTCTACATCAGACAAGCTAAAATTTCAATACACAATTATGACAACTATGGTGAAAACTTTACATTTCTGTCTTAGAACAAATAAAATTCTAAAAATGAATCAGCTATTYTGGTCAACTTATAGAGAATTMATGTATTTAAGTTTGTTGCTCAARYAAGTGTTCTACAGTATTTCCCATTGTTTTGCTGAAATACAGTAAGTTGTTATTATATGATTTGTTTTACAATTTAATTAGATATCATTTGAACATAATTGCCATAGACGCTGTTGTTGGTTATTTTCTCAATGCACAAATTAAATATTAATACTTTAGTCACTAACCTTGGTAATTGCTCTGGTTGAAAACTGAATTTCTGGTTCTCCAATAAATGATATTTTTACTTCAAAAGGAGAATTRTTCAACTGCAGTGCAACCTACAATTAGAAARTTTATCTTTTTTATTGGTCCTTTTTTTCAATTGTTTCATCTTTTCTTCTCATCTTCCTTTYAAGACATTATTACTCATCTTCTCATCTTCCATTTCTGTTTTTAATTCCTTTGATTATTTTGGATTCAGTATGTCTTACCTCCCCTGACAATTTCAGCACATTGACTTCAAGTATAACATTCTTAGATCTGCCATTTGATGTTGGCTGGCTCACATGAACATGAAATCCTAGATCGCTTGACTCAACATGGAAAGTGATGCACTAGAAATACAAACATCACATTACAACAGATTATTGACATAGGAAGAGGGATTCTGGCTGTGATTCAATAACCTTATGTAGGTAACCTAAYGTACCACCACAGGTAGCCYAATTCCTATAAATACATATATTACCACAGGWAACCAAACMAATTGAAATAGATCAACACAGGCAACCCATTCATAACATACTGACTAGACACATTACCTTCATAGTGCCATCAACAGTCAGACAATAAACACTTGTAAGCTTTGGTGGTAAACAATTAGGGCAAATRTTGGTTATGAATATCCTTCGGTTATTCTGTGGAAGGAGAAAAAGCAACAAAAAATGAATGGAATCGGTGATRTAAGATSTTCATCTCTTTMGAAAAAAATCTAAGATAACATCAAAACGAAACTTTGTTTCTTGTTCTTGAATCCTAAAATCCAAGATTGTCCAATGAATTATGCAAAAACCAGTGTCTTGRCCACTATTATTAGTGCATATACATGAACACGTTTTCATAGCAACCATTTGGACAAAGAAACATCCAAATACATAAAGATTTTAAATTACTGTGAATATATGCAAAGMTTGGAAAAATGTGGGAGAGAGGATTATAAGTTTAACAATCAGGGTCATTGAAAACCTTTTCACTGAGATAAGAGATATCCTGTGGGATTTACACCAAAATATCAATAAGTAAACGAGCGTGAAAATGTTGCTGTTTCAAGTGTAACTGGATATATCTGGCAGGGGTATAATCTACAATATTTTGGTTGATATAAAAGAGCAACCATCTAAATACATCTCTGTTTACCTTTTGATATACAACTTTACTGCCGAGACATATTATTGAAATAAAGTATGCACTTTGACAGTATAATCAAAATATTTGCCTGAATTTGTTTTTTCTCATTACAAATCTCATTTTTCTTTTTAATGGTGTGTAACATGAAAGTATGACAATTGAAATTTTAAGAATATTTTAAAAATTAATTCAAATTATGAGAAAAATTTAGCTAGAGTGTGTCAAATAGCATTTTATATCCTTTCATGTGGCGTTTTTATGAATATGATCCAAAGGACTCGAAAATGACCACAGAGATTGTTACGGAACCAATAGTTGAACTCCACAACATCAACATGAATTACCACCCATGTATTCTCAATGTTGATAATAAAATGTACCGAAAATAACCCACCTGTTGAAGATATTTTCCGATTTAGATTGAATTACGTGAAAGACTTTAAAAGGGAAAACGGAACTGGTGAAKAACACTATGACAAAAGGGAGAAAATCCTCTAACAAAGTCTTCTATTTTCATCCTAAGAATAGTRAAGGCCTCGGAAGTCATAAACTGGAAAGAATACCATGTTTTATCAATATTCATGCAAAATTAATCCTTAACTTACCGTTCGTTTCTGGTACAAAGCCCTGTTCATGTTACGAATCCACATTTTCACTAAATCGGGTGTATTTTTGAYGCCAGAATGAATGTAAAACCATGCGATCRKTGAGTTCASCCATTGACAAGACTCACTAGTCACAGCCCTGTTCCCTCTTTTGAAAGTTCTCGTACCTTTTCTGTGGAGATTCTTTGAGTATTTGCCTTTCTTTGAATACAGAAACATGTAGCATACAAGCGACAGAAGCAGAACATGAAGGAGAAAGAAGTAAATTTTGACAGGCCAAGARCTGCCGTGCTGTACGAGGTCCATGACATCCATCACGCCGTCCTTAAATGTATGGCCRACAAAGATAGCGTAACGCTTGACTTCGTCCATAAGGTCTTGTAMCTCTTCTTCACGCCGTCAAAAACAAAGAGATCGATACTCGAAAAAATGGGGTTAATTCTACACAAACAAATCAAAGATCGTGATATGAAGGCTGTGATCTTGAACCGGTGTCGACTCCTGTAGACCGGCTTGGCTGTAAAAATTGTAGCAGAAAGCTTGCTCATCATTGGTCCACAGTATAAGAACAATATTGGAATTTATGCAATATAAATAGCAACGATGAATATTTCATAAGTACTCGTTAATTTTTCTTTAACCRGTCCAGGTGCACTTCCATCATGGCGCTGCGGCACGAAAACCACACAACATAACACAGGAAGCCCACATCTTGTAATAATACGGTCATCACTGCACTAGAAGTAAATTCGCTGATCCTAATTAACTATTGATGATTTTTCATGTTAGTTTGTTTTAACATGTTTTGACTTTACAAAAGAACAAAAGTTTGAAAGATCGAAAGATCAAAAATCACKTGGTCACGTGGTCAAGGGAGAGCGCGCGGGGAATCGACGACGATGTCGAGCAGTAATTAGTGATGTCATTAACGGATGATGCCAAAAATGGGAGCGGCGTGCTCATCTTGCTCAAATGATAAAGTTATCAGAATCAATATTCCTAATAACAAAATAGCTAGCATTCAGGAAGACATCAGTAAACAAGACAATCCCCTTTTAGGGAACGCCGACCSTTTTATGAACTTTATTCAAACGGCTAATCAAGATAACAAAGAAATACAATCAGCATGCGCTGAAAGTTTGATTGATACGTTTAGTAATGTGAAGGACAATGCTAAAACGAGAAGCATTAGAAATGACAAACAGCCAGGAGGAAACGATTTTGTCATAAGGTATTTACACTGAAAAAAACTGCCTCTCCTCTATACTTCCCTCGATCATCATATGTTCTTTTTTCCCTTTTTGTTTTTCTTTTCTTTTCTTTCTTTTTCTTTTCTTCCTTTTTTCACGTGTGTGCTTTTAAATCATCGTCACGGGTCTTTTTTTATTTGGACTGAACGGTGACTAGGTATCAGTTATAGATGTGCAAAGGATTGTTTTTGCTATGTTTCTATAGATTACTACATTTGCAATCTTTTTTTTTATTCTAAGAACACCACAACGAGAACGAATAAAAGACGATTCTCCTCCAGTTCAACCAGCAGCTAGTAACCAAGATTTAGCCATTACAGCAAGGCAACAGTCGGCAGGGCAGTCAAAACGTAACCTTGACATCACAAGGAAGGTCGAAAAAATATTGAACGAGGTTATTTCCCCAGAATCCTCTACGGTAGACTGTACGCAGGTTGGGCGACAGTCAAGATTAATGCACGCAGATGTAAACACCGTTGTGTCATATGGAATTAGCGGGAAAAAGGCAATGAAGAAAAAGAAAGTAAAACCAACTTTGATAACAGTTAAACCTTATCAGGAAAATCAAGATCAAAATAGACCAGCAACACCCCACACCCCAGAGTTGAATGTTTGTAAACATGGCATCCCCCTTGTTGATAGTTTAGACAATGAAGAAGGGGGTTGCACCAAATGCCAACGACCAAACTCACGTGGCGGGAGAGAATTGCAAGAATATTTAAAACTCAAACGAACAGAAAGAAAAAAATCGAGAAAGTTTTGGGCTAAAAACATTGAGACTATGGAAAGRAGTTCTCGGAGGCAGTCCCAAGACTCGATAGAAAAAGCCCTGAGAGAATTTGAAGAGTTTCACGGCAAACAAAATGGATAATAGTATGGAAATGTAGATAGTAATATAACGAAGAAGACTAGTTGCTGCATTGAACCTTACTGGCATAAAAACCAGTGTGGGCAGCTTTTAAGATTTCAAAAACATTTAGCAACTGATATATCATTTTCAATGGAAAATAAATGAAAACCAGCAGCTCGAATTTGTCTTTATTCAGGGTCACAACACGATAACACCTCGAAAAGCGTGATCTACCCGTCATCCTTTGCTATATGACCTTTCTCCAATATGCCATCCAAACCTTTTCYCTGTATACTACGGGAATATTTATCGGAACTTACCTGGTTTTCAAAGAGTTTCTAAGTAAAGCATATACTGAAACATTTCAGAAGCTATTCTGGCCTATTTTGTCAAAGGAAGAGAGGAAGCCATTTTGGAAACCTGGCCTGATCTCAATTGCCGCAGCGATGGACGTGCATATTTCCTTACTTTCTTGTAGTATAAAACAATATTCTAATTGTAGCCTAACTTTGGCAAAATTGCAGAATTTACTCACAATATCCGATCTTTGCATTCAGTTTGTTTTAAAAGATTTATTWAAAARGTCATAAATGCGGCGTACAAAGAATACTGAGTGAGCATATACATTGCAGTATTTTACAAATGTTCTTTTGCACCGAGATGATTAAAATTTATTGCAAATTTATATAAAAATGCAGAAATCCAGAGTGTTATACTGTCCTATCATATTAATATACACTAAGACATGTATCACGTTACACTAACACTTAGTCATACACAACTCTATCTAAAGCTCCTAGATTACTGTACTGGTACGTTTGTGAACAAATTAACTTTGTTTGCAAAGGTTCTAAATTGGCTTAACTTGTATTAGGACTTCATATAAACAGTCAGTGAAAAGTAAACAAGAAATGCACGATCGTTTGATTTGATAAGAAGACGCATGTTTCAAATACCACCTTGAATATTTCTAGCCCGAGCCCATCCTGCTAKCCAAGKTGYTTCGTTTTGAACTAAGGTTAAAGTATCCCAACTTCACAGAAAGTGCGTGAAAATGAGAGTAGCGATCGCGATGAGAACGCCATAAATAGTGGCTGTAGTACGGAAGGCTGAGTTACAGTATTCTGAGTCACAACAGTAGATACAGACCCTTGCTTTATCTGCTCCAACMTTTTGGTTTTCTTTACAGTCATCAAAACAAGACCATTTCCAAAATGTTTCGTCGTTGCTTTTAGTGCATCCTTTCACAATATGCGGGTTATCGACGTCGAAGTTGTGACGAATTTCCATTTTGTAGCACTGTGATCCGTACTCACAGCTCTGTTTTGATGGGCTTTGTAGGCAGCCTTTACCACTGCATCTAAAGCAATTAAACGCGTCGTCTGCACTCCTAGCTACCCTCAGTAACGAGAAACCAACCAACAACAACAGRACTAGAGTTTTCATGTCGAAAGCGTCGAGTAAACACGATAATGCGACCGTTGYAAAGTTCCTGGCTAACGTCCTTCTCGCTAAGTTAATGGATAACCCTTTCATGACGCGCTTGCTCTAATATTGACACAACTAAACCACGTGGTCGCCATATTGAATTACAAACTTGAGAGAAGCACCGATTCCTTTTTTACGTTTCCAAACAGAGCAGGATGGAAAACCGAAAACGAATGTTCATCAAAGGCTAAATCAAGATGYGCAAGAATCCGGCGACCTTGCAGCTATGTTTTAATTTTTTATTTATCAATTTAATTTTTTTTTACAAAAAAAAAAAATATATAATAAGATAATTCTTTAAATGACCTCACGGTATCACGTAACTACTCATAGATATTTTATTAAAAGATATTATTTATTTGAAGAAAACCTTTGCACAATAGCTACATGTATATTTACACATCATCAGATCAAGACTGGTAACACAACTAAATGTTTACGGCTGAAGGTATAAATATGAATTGAACGATTGAACAAGCTGTAAATTCATTTTACTTGAAAAACTGGCATTATTAGTGCGGACCAGTMAACGAGTGACTACTGAAAACTTGTCAGAAACATTTTATACAAATAAACGCATGAGGCAGATTAGACATAAAAGTGGCCAAGAAAAAAGTTTATTGTTAATACCGATATTTCTTTTGTCTCTTTTCTGTATTTTGTTGGGTTTTGCTGTAACCGCATGAATGGTCGTATCCATGGTTGCATTCTCTTTGTTACCCTTGTTACAACTGTTACCATAACAACACTCTATACACATGTCATAATTGACAGAAATCTTACGGCAATCGTTCCAACAACCCCGGCTGAACATAACAGCATCATCAGTACAACCTTTTACTGGGTAATCTATCGTTTTGTTGTCTCTTCTAATCGTAAAAACCATCGAAAAACAGCCTTGACCTGGCGCACAGTTGGTCAATAATGATGTACTGTTGTCTTGGCAACGGTTGCCCTCACAACGTAAACACTTGTACCTTGGTTTTTCAACAGAAACTTCAAGCCATGTTGTAGAGCTCCACAGACAGCACAGAATTGGGRATTTTCCTTGTGATAACCTCCCTCCCTCTTCAACTTTAGTCTTCAAGACTGCAGTTTCATTCAGTTTAAAACATGTTCGTTCACACTTTTCAGTCCTGGTTTCGTTTTCTCCATTTTGGTCCACAATGACGACTTTCTTTGATGACACACAAACTTGATTACCATGACTAATAGCAAAGACACGATGCTGCTTGTGTAGCAACTAAAAAAGACAAAACGAATTTTAGTAACACTGCACAATGTATATAGATGGTCTGTTGGAGTTGTCACACTTGAAAAATTGTTATTAGTGCGTAATACTCYAGTCGAAAGATTGAATTAAATGACATAATCAACTAATCTCTAATAGTACCATGTATTTTGTAAATGGAATAAAAATGGTCCTTGACCCTCTATCAACATTAAAAGCAAGCAGTTACCTTGATGGTATTACTGTACACAACGKGATTGGCCTTGCTTATTTGTCTCACTCCATAAGAATACATATTGCTCATCCCTTGGTAAAATTCCTTGACAAGAAGTCTGACTGATCGAGTACTATTCACAGTTTTACCCATCCATGGATRGCAATTATGCACCTTGGCATCTGTCAAACATGGAACTATAAGAGCCATGATGAAGACATGTATTATATGTGAAAGAAGCGTAAAAGCTGCCATTATATTGAAGAGAATATCAAAACTTGTTTGAAGTTCAATTGCTTGCAATGTATTTATATACACATGGYCCCCTTTATTTGTGTCCATTACACGCCCACAACATGCAGGCCATGACATCAGCGCGTGACTTCAATTATTGTTATTACCAGTGTTTCCGGTGTTCGTTACAGCCGTGAGATTCGGTTATCATTGCCTTTTAAGACAAATTATAATCGTTTTTATTTTTTCACGAGTTGAGAGTGAGAACTTTTGTCAAGGGTGTGAAATCATTCGATCAATGGTCATTTTGTCGTCAAGTATGGTCTTAAAAAATCAGATTTAAAAATCATACGTCTTGACCGGCTGAGTTCATCTACTCAGTTTAATTAATCCAGCTCTTTAAATCACTCAAAAACATACACTCGACATCAATAAAAATTAATAATGATGATTAAAACAGAAAGACGTGGGAGGAAATATTAAAATATATACACAATAAAAAGGAAACATTAAAAATAAATTGAGAAAAACAGATACATCATTTTGAATCACCAGCAAGATATCGATAGTTATTAATAAATCATTTCTAATTCACAACAAAGCTGAAGGATACACAATAACATAATACAATTTATGTCATCAAGTGGAGTACATCTCGGGGGATTTCTCGCTCAAACTGCTACACAAGGATTTTTGTGTCTTTAGTTTTCATATCAATCTGTCAATATAATTAAGATTTCATCATTTCCCTCAAACACATAGTAGCATAACACGACGAGTCAAGTTTAAAGCAAAGTTCGACGTCATTGGTCAGTGGTATTTCAGCACCCTTCGTTTCATTGTCATGTTTTGCTCGTTTTGCAGGTTTCGTTAAGTCTTCACATAGTTGCGACTCTTTATCGTTTTCAGTATCAACGAGTGAAATGTTTTGTAATTCTCTCTTCATCCCAGTATAAGCCTGGTGTGTTTTACTTGATAAGAGTTGAGTTTTAGCGTCAAGTTGACAAGAASCTGAATTAGCAACAGAACAAGTTGCAGCAGTTGATACTGAATTGTCAACGATCCACTTGTAACGAAGATCCCTAGGTACAGCAATAACTCKGCGATAACCACCAGGTAGYGATAGTCCAAGAGAACGMAGCCTACAAMATAAAATATCTAGATATCATCCTTAGAAATAAACTGTTTTTGTTATAGTTTCCTTCTCCTTATTGGAGAAGTGAAATCTCATCCCCCCTACTTCCGCCTTTCTTCCCACARTTTTTACTTCATTCCGCGGAAAAGATTGGGATTCTTACCTAAAATGTTTATCCGTCAGCCCACTCAACTCAAGAGTCTCGCGATATCTAAARTAATACATAGTTCAGTTAGTTCACCTACAATGTACAATAAATTAGTAGCAGAGAGGACAGTGTATCCTTTGTGGAGAGTGGGAGGATCAAATTGTTTACCTTTCYCCTATWGTATTTGTCGGATACAGGACGTTATATCCCGGTATGGGAAGAACCAAATCCCGTATCGTAAATTTCTTATCTTGGACGTCGTCAACAGTGGCGATTCTAACACGTGATTTATCCACACCCCAATGATCGTTCTCGTGGTTGATGGACCCAACTTTATTTTCAACATTTACACCACCTGTTTCTTGAGTGATTTCATTTTCATCTTTAGCTAAGTGTTCCTGCTGTATAGTTCCAGAAGCACGCTTTAAAATCTCATCATTTACATTACACTCGGCACTTGGTTTATTGAAGTGCTGTGATAAAGTAACATCGGCAACCTCAGACAAGTCTTTCTTTCCTAGTATCAAGCCTTTAACTGACTTAATTGAACCTYTCAAATCCAGTCCTTTTGAATCCTCATTAGCAGTGTAATCACAAACAAGATCTCCAGCTACTATTCCCAGGTCAGTGTAGTCTTGTAGTCGTTTGGACGCCATMTTGTTCCATACAAGACTGGTGAAGCTGTGGGCGTACATGAGACGCATTGAGTATGGGATACTGAACAAAGCCTTCGTGCAGCCATCCTGTCAAAAATCACAGTACTATTATTAGTTTCGGTTTATTTGCCGATAGTTTGAACAAAATGCTTATCTTATCAAAGTCATTTGCAAACTAGTCTTACTTGATCTCTGCCATGTCGATGAAGCGACTTTAGAATAAGTCGCTCACGTATCTTGCTATTAGGCATTCTCGATAATGTCCCAGAAATATCTCCTGTTTCCTGATAATATCTATAAATGAAGAAGCCRAAGCTGAAGTTATTAGTGTAGCAAATGYGAGTCAAAAAATGAATTACCTTTTTGCAGCGTTTGCTTCATCGTTTTTGTCAGACTCGGGCATAAGAATCAAATTTACAGCTTTGATCATATTTCCTTGTAGCATTGCTAAGCCTATAGTATCACCACGTGTTGTAACACCCTCCTCGTGGCCAAACCTTTGAGAACCAAAATAATTTAYAAATCCATGAGCGGCTGTGTTTTTCAASGMTTCCTGTGAAAGTTTCAAGACAGATTTACACCTCATCACCAATGATAACCATAGTTAATAGAGAGATAACATATCACGCCATTGATGTTAGAAAATATTGAAAAACAGTATTAGCTGATGACCTGAACAAGTCCTGATTAGATATCAAGACTGAGTTTATGATTTGCTTCAATGGATATTTCTCACTTTCTTATTATGTCTTTTTAAGAAATTAAATATGAATGCATCATGCTAAAGACCTACCATAATTTCATTATGCAATGCATGTGACGACCTGAAATAATTAATAATGATTAGAAAATGTAACTTGCACTAGTACACAAAATAATATGGCACAGGTTAAAGCAAGTCTAGACAGAAAAAAAAACAACCGATAATATTTACCAATTAGATGGTATGCCTTTTTGATGAATATCTCGAATCAATATCTTGAAAACATTTCCTGTCAAATCTCCCATTTTCAAAGGTTGCTTGACCATCTTGTAGCTTCCAATCTTGATGTTTTGTAACAATGSATCACTGTTTACTTTGTGCAACCTTTTTACATAAACAACCCATAAGTACCATTAAATACTGTACTATTAAAACACTGATATTTTTTGGCTTGTGTACCACCTGTGCATTAATAAAGAGCACCAAAAACCTATGCAAATTCTAAGTTATCAAAGCTTTTTTCAGCAATTTGAGTTTAAAATGACTAAAACATACATCAGCCGACCTTACCTGTGAGGCAGAACACCCCTGACTGCCATGTTCTGTATTGTTATTGCTTTCTTATCCTTTGTTCCAGCATAACTAAACTCAGATGGATAGACTCCAACAGTTTTACACAGACTTTCAATTGCTTCCAGAGTTTCCTAAACCAGGACAAATATCAAATATAATGTACACTTTTATTAACTTTGTATAAAATAATTAATRTATACTTTTATTAACAATGTAAACAATAAAGACTAAACCTCACCATGTTTTCTTTTCTTAAAACAAATTCAGTGTACAAATTACTTCTTGACCTTGGGAAGAGTAATTAAGTTAATAAAGTGTCACCAAAACGTTTAACAACTTGATTTGTTATTTAAAAAATATATGTCACACATACCCTTTCCCAAGAATGCTCTTGTCATTTCTTTTTGTTCCTTTTRATTTCTTTTTAGTTCTCATTCTAACTTGAATATACCCATTGTTATCTTTGCTTGCAGGAAACGTTTTGCTCTCCAAAAATGAACCAAAATTCTTAGCAAGAAGTCTGTGGATCTAAAAGTTAAAACAAATAAATATTATTGTGGTCAACTTAATTGCAAAAGCTTCATTGACTACTGAATATATTGGTCATGAAATGGTTATTGTGATCTGTACCTTTGTACGACATTCCTTGTYGTCATTACATGRCAAGTTGTAAGAAGCTGAAGAGCTTTTGTCTAAACAGTGGCAAAACCTCATCAAGCTGCAAAGAGAGATTCCATTGAAAACCAGGAAATACTTTAGAGAATCAGAGAGAATCACTCAGCATCACTCTGTACATGTACTGTGTGCTGGTTGAACAAAACTGACTTACTTTTCAATATCTTTTATTTCAGAGATTAAAGTTGTAAAGTCTGTAAAAACTGGATCTATTCTTGCTGTCATTGTGTACTGCCCAGACTGAAAAATCAAAAATATAATATCTCAATACTTCACTAAACCTATAGTAGAAGCAATTTGATACGCATTGATATTTGGATCATCCCCAAYAATACAGGAACAGAAATGAAAAACATGACGACAAAAATGTCACATGAGAACAAAAAAGAAATGACTTGCATGTTGTGATTGCCTTTACATTTGATTGACATCAGTATCTAACAGTCGTCATTATTACCTCTTGAATAGTTGTAGTTTGCACAGCAGGAAATACCATTCTTGTGTRAAGATGAATAGAAGTCCTGACAGTTTTGTCATTGAAACTTCCTAAAGTATCATACGATATATCAGGTATGATCATTTTTACATGGCACAGTCTACCTTGACGGWGGTCTACAGTTTTAAAGACACCAAGAATAACTCTTGCTGCACMTAAAACTGCAGAACACTGGAATATAATTGTATACAAAGCTTACCTAATGAAMAACAGCCATTATTTGCATTTGCCTGTAAAGTATGAGATAGTTGAGAGAGTTTACACATCATACTCTGTCCAAGAACACCAGTCAGGTTATTTTCAGCTTCTTTAATCTTCACTGAGTCCATGAAACTTTCTGGCTTAAAAATCAACATTAAAAAATAATTATACCAACCAATTTTTGTGATATATGGTGATATAATGATGACATCAATAGAATTACTAATAGTAACATTAACAATGATGATATTTGAGGATAGAAGGGGGGTTCACAAAACACCCTTCAACATCCCTGAATTATGTACTGATGATGATGACGCTGATGATGATGATTGTGTAATACTATCTAACACACCTGATAAAAAGCTGTTTTCTTATCCTTTTTCTCAAATTTCGGGACAATAGTTTCATCAGATAACATCTCAAATGCGATGGCTTCCTTTTCAAGTTTATTTTCATCATCAGCTACATGTAAGCTTACTGAAACACTCTCAATATTATCAATCAGCCTGACTTCAAATCCATTTTCATCTATCTCCACGACCTGGAAGTCTTCGTAGCTTTTATCGTTGTTAAGCACATTAAAGCGAAACTTACGATGAATTAGCAATAATCATAGTTAGTGGAGTATTGATTTAGGCAATGCTTTAAATGTATCTCATACAGTACTTTCTCCGCTTCATCAGTGGTTGCGCGAATTTTATCACGCTTTAAAATCGTAAATTAAAAGGATACGATCTCTTAATCTGTCCACAAAATCCATTGTGCTTAGATACATAGCATTCTAAGCCCAAGTCCATGATTTACAAAAGTTGTAAGTTTGTTACACTCCGTCCGCCATATTTGTTGCTTTGTCTGGCTTGGCTACAAAGTACTTTGTGTAATAACCGCTGTTAAAACATAGAAGGCTCACGTCGATGGCGGGAAGAAAACATTGTGAACCCCGAATTTTATAAAATTTATTACGATCGCTGGAGATTTTGTTGTCTTATATCGTTGGTTGGTGGCCRTAGATATCGCTTAAGGTAAATATGCCGAGAAACAAGAAATCAAGTGSACTGCCCGATGTATACTTGGTCTGCGGGTGGCAAGATTGTCAGTTTCAAGTTTTGTTGGGTGATTTTCTAGACTTTAGAAACCATATTGATGAGCACATAAACGATATTTTACCTGGTTACCGGGACAGATGTTGCAACGAGAAGGTTCCTGATGATTTTGTGTGTATGTGGGCGCATTGCGGCTTTGATACACCTGAAGATGCTAATGAACTCATCCGCCATCTTTTATTTCACGCTTTTCATACAAAATTAAAAGCGCAAGGAACAAGAAAACGAATTGCACAGGGCCTTAGTGAATGCACTTTAGATTCTCAGGGACAAAATCTMGTTCCTGATGTTCAAAAGCCGTTTCTATGYGAGTGGGAGAACTGTTCTTTGGAAATGAATTGTCCATATTGGTATTATCAACATGTTGAAAGTCACGTGATGGCAGTGGATAAGGAGAACAATGAAGACAATGTCAGCTTTGTGGCTTGTGGATGGGAAGGTTAGCAAGTATGCTAGTTTATCACAGAAGTTTTCATATTTGAAGTACATGTATGAAATGACAGAATGATGCTGTCATCACATCCAATATAGCTAAGGAAGTGTATTATTCTCACCTAATATGATGCATATATTGCTTATACTCATGTTTACTTGTTGACAGGTTGTCAAGTTACAGTAAAGAACCATTATAAACTTAAGGAGCACTGCCGYACACACACACATGAAAGGGTTTTTGCTTGTTCAGTGTGTGGTGGTATGTTTGCTAGTATGTCAAAACTGATAGATCACCTAACAAGACAAAATCAATCTGAATGTAAGTCAACATTAGTATTGTTGATTGTTCTACACAGGTTATTATTCACTTAACCTGATCATTTTTACTTGTATSCTTTGCTAACAATCTTTTCTTTTTAGTTCAAAGTTTTCAATGTTCTCATTGCTTAAAGCATTGTGGCTCACAGCGGATATTAAGAGATCATATGCGTCATCATGGTAGGTGATTGATAATTATGGCTGTTTAATTGTGTAATCAGGTAYATGTAAAATATTCCGACTGTTAAAACTAGTATATTGTTAATTTTTCTGTCCTTGATATTAGTGTCTATTTCCGTGTATGAGTACTGTGTATCTAACTTTGCTACTTTACAGTGAATAACATCAARTGTAAATTCTGTGACATGACATGTCCCAACCCATCAGCCCTCAAGCAACACATGAAGTTCCGTCATTCTGATGACCGTCCATATGAATGTGATCTTTGTGAAGCTAGGTAAACTCTTTTTTAGTCTATCAATGTATGCACAGCTACATGTATTTCTCTGAATACTGATATAGGATTGTGTATTCTAAGACCACATTGCATTGTTGTCACCATTCAAAGGGAGTTTTTGTGGTTTCAGAGTGACTATACCAGCTCCATATAATCAAGAACTTCAATGGGAGGCAATTTTAGTTTTAAATTGTCATTTTGTAATGCAGCTTGTGTGGAGTTTAATTGCAGCAAATATGCATCATGTTCTTGGAATGCACAATGTAGTATTTTGGATACTGTATTATTGACGATTAAAGCATGATGACTACTGTATTGAACATATCAACTTTTTTTCCAGCTGGAAAACACTTTCTGATCTGCGACGTCATCGTGAATCACACAGCTCTGTATTGAGCTACAAGTGTTCTGTTGAGGGGTGTGACTTTTCAGCCAGAGCAGTCCAAACTTTGAAAAGACATTTTAARGTTGAACACCAGGTAAATGCATGAGGATATGCATTCATAATTAACATAAATATGACTTTGATCCAAAACTACATTWTTGTTTATATTGTGTACCAAATTGTCAAATCCTCACTGTATGAACAATGATATAAAATGGCCAAATAGCAATATAACATCTCATGATTTATCCTATTACYATTACAAAAAAATATTGTGATGTATWTTTTAAGGGAGAAGAGCTGTCCAAGTAYGAATGCCATATTTGTGCAATGAGATATACTCGCGGCACAGGACTAACTCAACATTTAAAAACAAAGCATGAATTTAGGTGGCCATCAGGCCATCCACGCTTCAGGTGAAGTTATTCCAATATAAGTCATCATTATCTTTGTATTTTATTATTACAATCATTGACCATCATTATCATAATTTATTCTGAAATCATGATTGTCCATGTTGCCATGTGACTGTCCTTGTATATTTGATAACACTAATAAAGTKTCTTGTGTTTATCATCATCTGCTGTCAGTATCAACACTAGTGATGTTATATATAGTCACAGTAAATTCATGGAATACAGTTTGCAATTGCAGCTATGATGTGGCATAACTGTTGTSAGAGCATTCCAAGAAAAATTAATTTACTCAGTCCAAGTTAATTGTTTTGTCTTCAGATACAAGCAATATGAGGATGGAATCTGGAGATTACAAACTGTTCGATTTGAAAGTTTACAACTATCTCAACAATTTAGCAGTGAAAATCAAAGTGAAGAAGGCCAAGAAGAAATGATACAAGACGAACAGTCTACAGAGGAGGAAGATTCTAATCAGGATTCATCATCTGGACACATTGAGTATCAAACTATTGATACTCCAGTTATGGCCTCACTTAGCGGGCCATTTTATGATACAGAAAACGATTCATCACAGCGTCAAAACATAGCTTTACCTTATGCACAAAATATCCAAGATACAGAGACAAATCCATCATACTTAGCAAAATCTGGTTCAGTGGGAAAAAGCAAAATGACTAAGCGCAATCATCCTTATGAAAGACCATCATCRCCATCATTAGATGTACCTCAGACACTTCTTGCATTGCAACAAGTGGCCACAAGACTTGCTGCTAATAGTGACATAAGAGGAACAAGTTTATCAAATAATCCATCTTGAAGTTTATTTATGCATTGTTTCCTTTAGCTACGTATACATTGGCCTTCAATACTGATATTACATTTTACTATTATGAAGTCAACTGTTTTAATAAAAGAGAGATGTTATATGTTGAAATATTTTATTTGTTACTGACAAAATCTGGTCTCATTGACAAATTTCATAAATGGCTGCCACTAAAGAAGTTTGTCTATAACTTGAAAACTTTTCAAAAATACCTATTTATGATAGATCTTCTGTATGAAAGTGATGAATGTTTTTATACTACTTTTTGGTACTTATTAAAGTGACCTACAACCTAAAATATTATTTGAATATTTCATTTTTGATGGAACTTCCATACTGAACTAGACAAAGATATCTGAACAGACAGGCATCCCAAACTTCTGGTGTCCTCAATCAACGATATGACAATTTGCAAGCATGTTGTAGCATTGTTTTATAAGTTCTTTGCAACTGTTAAAACCTTGCCAGGGGGGTACAACATTCTTCTCTAGTATTCTCAGATGTCCTTGTATTTGTGGGAGTGAGTTGGCAACATCTCCTTGAAATAGCTTGTCCACTGCTTCTTTGAAGCGTTGCTCTGATTTGTCTAACAACTTTATTTTCAAGGTGATGTTTTGGTCAACATTGCATTTACAGCAAGTGATCKTTTTTTCACTTGTTGGTAAAGCAAACCCACAGAATTCACAGCGTAAAGTTGGATGTTTTATTGTAGCAATATCAGCAAACAAAGGAGCATCTTGATCACATGCCTGACAGTGACACTCAAAATAATACTGACTTGCAAGTCTTCTTTGACGTTCACTCCTTGGAGTTAAAGCTGAAAGGACACCATAATTGTCTGCAATTTCCTGGCCTGCTGTTATGCTTGTCAGAGCACGGACAACACATTTGTCACCATAAAAGAACCTTGTGACATTAGGCTCACAGGAATGGTTAAACAGGCTYATTGTTGCATAGATACCAGCACCTATCTCCATTGTTACAGATGTTTCCACTGATTTATTAGAGAGTTGAAGTTCTGCTATCTCATGTGCATTACAYGGGAAGCTCTGCAGGTGTCTAAGGATAATCCCACCTGCAGTCAGTAAGCTTTCACTTCCTCCCRGTTCCTTGACTCTTGAACCTTGGAAGAAGTCTGTCTGTGCAATACATTTTAGCAAATAGACAGCGATTACTGTACGGCGGAATAAGTCRCCAACTGTCCTTACATCTGTATGACCAACTAAGTTATATATTGTGGTGTATTCAGATGGATCATATATTCCTGCATTGTTAAACCCAAATGTTTTCAGCTCATTACTTGTACCAATAGTATGATCTAATTCCTTGCACTGGTCTAATCCAGCTATTAACAGTGTTCGCAAAGCAAGGTGCCCATATTTACCAGCCTTGTAGATGTGATTTAAGTTCTCGCATTCAAATGAGTGATAAAGTGTCCAGCTTTGCGTTGCACACTGGAGACTACAATATCTGACTGATGAACACTGTTTACATGGTAATGGGGCAAGAGTTCTTTGGAAACAGTGATGGCAGTGAGTWGCTTGACATTCCTCTAGAAGTACTGAGGCAAAGGGTTTCTCAACCACCAARACCTCTCCTATATCGATATCTAGAGCKGCAATAGGGTAACGCCCTTTTGAGGATGATGTTGCTATGTCAAATGCCTTGGAAGTTGCAATATACTTGTCATTAAAGCTTGTCAATTTGGGAGGAGCTGGAACATCTTTACCAAAAACACTTAGGTCACTCTTTACTGAACACAGATTTTTCTCCAAATTTACTTTCTTCAATGAGATCTTGTCTTTGCCTGTAATATCAGAAACCTCAACATACTCCAAGGCTTTACTGCATGCTTTGATTTCTTCCTCTGACCTTCCAAGWACTTTGTAGCACCTTGCTCTACGATCAACAAGCTTGTGCATCATTTCTTTGGGATATTTTGAATCAATTGAATTTTGGATATCTTTGAGACAAAGTTCATATTCACCAAGATGGAAAAGAACGGCTGACCTGTTTGCATATGCAAATGATGTTGTTCTGTTATCATCAGCAGTTGCAGTCAGGACACTCTGATTGTATTTCTCTAATGATTTCCAAAACTGTTTGCTCTTAAAAAACTTATTTCCATCAACCCGAAGTTCATTGGATTCACTAGAGGACTTGAGTTTATAGCATGGCTTTATGTCAGTAATTTCATCTATRACACCAAGGTCCAAAACAAACTTTACTCTTTCCGTATCAGAATTAAGTCCACCAAATGTTTCAGACAATGTCTGTAAATCATTTGTTTCTTTTAGTTTATCACAGACTTTCTGGTATAATGTCCACTGAATGGAGTCATTCGCCTCAGCCATTTAMACTTTCCATCAAAGAATATCTAAATTACGCAAACAACAGTAAAGTTTTTACTCATGTTAAAATACAACAWTTCAACACCAATCAGTAAATTTTAAATTAAAAATGGATTATGTCCAATAAAGACATTGCAGCAAACTAACCTGATACTATTTATCGTTATAGACTAAAGTTTACACTTGCTACTAAATGCAATCATACCAACTTGTGAACATTTCTTTACATCGATTTATGAAAGTGCTTCCGCCATCTTTGTTTTATTAACATTATCACCACAGGAATCCCGACGACACATAATTGCACAATGCATGTCGGGTGAATCGCGAAGTCTCATCGACTGACAAGGCAGAACCCAATCTCCTGTAAACATGAGTTATTCTATTTTCCAAGAAAGTAATTTCTTTGGACATGAAACCCTTTATTGGTTCCAAAGCGAAATTTCTTTGTTAGTTCAATTACAAGACTTGAATTTGTGCCATACATGAACTTATTCATCAGTTTTATTTGCCGATTAATGTTTTTAATTTGCTAACCTACAAACACGGATTTATCATTGGCGAACCCAGAAGGTGTTGTATTGGGGTGGGTGGGTGGGGGTAGCTATCTCCGTCTAAATATTCAATGGATAGATTTAGGGCTTCAGAGAACGAAAATTCTTTCAGATGAACGAGTTTTTAGTTCAGWTGTTTTTCGGAATAGCTTTTATTCAATTTCTTCAGTTTATTTCAATCAACTCTACTGGGACCGACTTTTAGCCAATTTTTAGTCACATTTCCTGCAGTCTCACAATTAAGTTTCATGATTTGGTTGATTTACTTAACAAAATGATGTCCCCCATTTGCTATGAAGATGAACATAATATTGTGCACTATATAGAGTCTTGAAGCAAGTGCTTTGTTGGCCAAAGATTGWTAGTTTATAGTGATACGACTTGCGCTGGCATGAGTTTTTCAAAGTGATTTTATAAATAGAGAGTTTTTTAAAACTTTTTTTAAAATTTGGCGCTTTTGGACTATTAACCAATGCCGTTTGCAGTTTGCAGTGAAAGTCATGTTTAAGCTCTCTAAATCATATAATTCTACGCGCTGTTCTTGTGCCTTGCGTTAATTTATCTGACAAAYAGTGATCCTTCTTCCTTGAAATATATGCCGGTGTTGCCATACGCCTTGTATCCGTAAAGAAACCTTCCGGGACCTGTTGACAGACCACCAATACATGTTTCATGGCTATTCCTACTATCGCAATTAATGAACCTCGATACAGAATGAAGCGGATGAAAGAMAACAACTAGGGACGACAATCAGATCAGGGGATAAACGGCTATGATGATCGATGAGTAAAGTATTGGACTTACTGGCACACATTAGAGAACAAGCATCAGTGCAGTGATCCTACATACCTCTAGTAATGAATTGTGAAGATTCCCAYCTAAAACCACACTCGTCTTTATCATGATTATCAAACACTAAATAACAAGATAAACCATGCAATAGCCGTGAGGAATGGTACGTGAATGGGAGTATTATCTCCAGCAGAGGGCCAGTAACGTAATGTATGAGCCGTGCACCCTCGTGGTGGACGTAACTTACGTAGGCTGCCGATAGCGCTACGTCTAGCTCTGCATCTAGTCGCACTAGCACCAGTTGCTTTTCTGGGCCGCGGCTCCTAGACAGAGGTTTATGTATGCTAGTGATCACCATGTCTTACCATGGTGAAATATTTTATATCCAACGCTGATTCCTTTGCAGTTTGATTCCCATTTGTACGGGTAATGATGCGACATGATCATTCTTGCACAGCTTAAAGTAACAAAGATTGTCATTATTCAGTAATAAAAGTTATGATGTGTAGATAACAACTCACTTTGATGCATAGCAAGAAGATGAAAAGTGATTTGGGCCACCTGGCAACTGAAAACGCAAAATACAAGATGCATGAATCAGTTTACGAACTCTGACACTAAACCAGTCATCAAATCTTGTATCTCCTCGACAATTTAATACCACATTAAATGCAATGATTGCATTTCTTCACGRTTATATACTAAATTGTGATTTTTCCTTGTGGTTTTACCTGGTAAAAAGAAGTCCCAGGTGTAGAACCAAACCTATCAAATCGAAAGGTTCCTGTCAAAAAAGCAACATTTAGTCTGTAGAATGCCCATAAAAAGTTCAGTGAGTTATCACAGCCATGTGCGCTCCAAACGAGAATGCCGACAGATTTCCTGGAATGAACACGAACGAAACCAATACTCAGAACACATTGCATGACATACCTTCAGTAGAGGCCAAAGCAATGATATCTTCATCAGACATCTTTCTCCCTTCAACGTTACTTTTGCTATGTGGCACACAGAGAAATGAATCTTTGCAGTTGTTCTCAATGGTTTGTAGATGGTCATTGTTACTGGCGTTGATAGAAACAACCAAACTCCATCCACCACCTGAAAACGAACATACACTGAATACCAACTAATGTCACAGACCATGAAATGGTCAAATACATACCAAAATTCTCCATGTCACAGTACACTTGACGTTGCTGTCCTCGCACAAAGACGGTGTAGTAACCACTTACTGTGTTACTGGGATTCCTTTGTTTTATTTCTGCGCAGGACTATGTCAATAACATATATCATAAT